AGTAGAGACGGGGTTTCACCATGTTGACCAGGATGGTCTCGATCTCTTGACCTCGTGATCCACCCGCCTCGGCCTCCCAAAGTGCTGGGATTACAGGCTTGAGCCACCGCGCCCGGCCCTTGTTATACAGTTCTTTCTAACCAATGTTTGAAATTTATCATGGTTAACATCCTTTCAAATTAAAACAAATCAAACCGAACCCCAAATAAGTAGGAAAAAAAATTTTTAAACTAGTATACTCTTTGCTGTTCAAGTAACAAGTAAAATGGTGATTAGTATGTTTCATCAGTTTATAAAGAGCTAACAGTGCCAGAGGTGGCATCCTTTTAAGTTAGAAAAACTGTGGGCAAAGACAGTATCTAGTTTGCTTACCAGCATGCTATTTTGCTTAATTTAGCAAAGTAAAAGCACGCAGTATCGGCTCAATAAGTATCTGTAAAGTGAATACATTAATTTTAATGAAATATACTAATACACTGAGGATAACTGCTTAGACACAAACGTTAATTCTATAGAGCCTTCACTATTCTAAATGCTATTACATTAAACTGAACTCTATCACCTGAAGAGCCACGATCAAAATTAAGAGGAATTGTCTCAAAAAGATGTTCCCATAGAACATGGCAATTCTGAATCCCACCCCATAAAACAGTAAAAACTTTGCGGCTTTTAAATAGCAAATTGAAGGTATGAAACAACACTTTCATGTTTATTTTTGTTTGCTTTCCTTCAGTCACTTTTGTATACCACTTTGACTTCTATTTATTTTATTCTTTTTTTTTTTTTTTGAGATGGAGTCTTGCTCTGTCACCCAGGCTGGAGTGCAATGGTGTGATCTCAGCTCACTGCAACCTCCACCTCTGGGGTTCAAGTGATCCTCCTGCCTCAGCCTCCCAAGTAGCTGGGATTACAGGCGCACGTCACCATACCCAGCTAATTTTTATTTTTAGTAGAGACAGGCTTTCACCATGTTGATCAGGCTGGTCTCGAACTCCTGACCTCAAGTAATCTGACTACCTTGGCCTCCCAAAGTGTTGGGATTACAGGCGTGAGCCATTGCACCTGGCCATATTTTATTCTTTATTAGAATAAAGTCTATAAAAAGGAGTTTTCTCATTGAACAAATGTAATCACCCCTTGAATGAAGAGTATATACTTAATTATAATATCCACCTGATATCAAACATCAGAATGCAGAAAGGCTAAAACAAAACAACCCAGAAACTCTAAAAGTTTAAGCAAACGCAGTAAAATACTCATTTGTTACTTGTCTGCTTTAAAAAAAGAAAGAAAATTGTTTTGATACTAAAATTCTGAATTGCATTCTCTCACATATGATGAGACTTTTCCCACCCACATTCCTTCAGAAGTCAAGCTGACATTGAACAAAATAGCACTAATCATGCTATTTTAGTTATGTGACCAATCAGAGTCTGATTAGCTTTCCCATTATTTTAGTCAAATGGTGCAATATATGAGAATAAAAGCTGAATACTCCCAGTAAAAATCTGTACAGAATAAAAATCCACGTCCTTTTTCAAGCAGTGAAAGTCAAAGTTAAATAAAGGGTATCTTAAGTGAAACTCACAAACCTTCAGCAATCATGTCTTCCATCTCTGTGTCAGATGAATTATCTGCATGTTTTGTATTATTCTGTAGCTCTGGCTGAACACACACTGAATTTATCACCTGATTATCCAAAAGAGGCCGTTTTTTCACAGGCTGTTCTATTAGCAAAGACGAACGACTCACCTTTAAAAAGGAGAAATAAAAAAATGAAACAATCTCTGAAAAGACATTTAGAAATAACTTGGTTTAAAAAACTCTTGAAATGAAACCAATTTGTGATAATTTACTAGTTCAACTGATCAGATCCATTTATTAGGTGCTTTATTCCTTGAGAATAGGTTAGGTGGTCTGGACATGAATAGTTTATTTCTGGTCACCAGCAGTACAGCTGCTTCAAAGACTCTGTCAAATGAAACCTAGTGTCTGAGTTTAGGCAAGTAGTTTTTCGGGTAAAGTCTTAAAATTCAGCAATTCCTTATCTTCAGAATTAATACTAATCATCCAGTAATCCTGCACTATGTATATTTTGGTAGCTCAGTCCAACACTAAAAAACAAAAACAGTAACTATCGGTATATTTAAGAGTTGTTTTTTTTTTTTTAACTTTTATTATCTGAAAAACAAAAATTAATGGCTCTCACTAGTGGTAAGAGATAATAATAGCTATGGCTATGAAGTGCCAGGTACTATACAGAATAATTTATGCACATTTAGTTCTCTCAACAACCCTAGGGGCAAAGCACCATCTCCATCTGACAGATAAGCAAAATAAAGATCAGAAAGTCTGAATGACTTGACAAAGGTTACACGGCCAGTATGGAGTAGACAGGAAAAAAAGACTGTCCCTCCATCCAATATATGAGAATTGCTATAGGAAATCCAAGTTTGACACACACACACACACACACACAGAGGAAACTGAACACAACGGCAACTGATTGGGTAGCTGTGTATCACAATGCAAGATTTTCAACCATGAATCTGAAAATTCAGATGACTCAAAGGCCTTCCAAAAAATTGTTCATATTTTTATATCTGCTTATCTTTGACATATTTTCTAGGGAAAAATGTTTATCTCTAGATATTAGCATACAAATTATGTACAGCTTAGCCTCAAGTTGTAAGACCTGCAGTGATAAAGCACCTTCATTTTGAGCTAAACATTTTACAGCATTTTAAAAATGATTGAAGGCTAAAATTTAGGAATAATGAGAAAATATATTTACTAATTACGAACCATCAATTGGGTAACTTCAGATGATCTAAAGTAATACACTTTATGGCCAGGTGCAGTCCCAGCATTCTGGGAGGCTGAGGCGGCAGATCACTTGAGGCCAGGAGTTTGAGACCAGCCTGGCCAACATGGTGAAACCCCTTCTGTACTAAAATACAAAAATTGGCCAGGCGTGGTGGTAATGCCTGTAAGTCCCAGCTACTGAGGTAGCTAAGGCATAAGAATCACTTGAACCTACGAGGCAGGAATTGTAGTGCCACTCACTCCAGCCTGGGTGACAGAGTGAGACTCTGTCT